GTGGTGCAATCTGCCGATGAGTATGACTTAGTCCATACTTTAATTTCATCTGAGCAGCCCCAAAGGGTGATGACATTGATGATAATTATTGTATGAATGACACAGTCATTTCAAAGACCTTCGTTGTATTATTTCAAAATTCCAAAACAAGGGAATGTAGCTCCTAAAAATATATCATTTTCACTAAAAAAGTGAGATATTTTTCTCCCTATTCCTAGAGATTCCCTCAGCTAAAGGAAGAAAAGGGGGATTTGAAATCGAAGACATTGCAGCATTTGGTTGTCGACTCATATTTTAATTGTTTGACCCATAGAAGTTTTGCTTTCCCAACAAGATCAAGCGACAGGTGCTTTGTCAGAGTCCTAGTGGAGGCGAGCTCGCTGCTCTGCACACCCTGGGCCTTCACGGAGTCCTGGCAGCAGACCGGGTGTGGACTTGCCTGACTTCTCATGGTGCTGGGTTGCCAGGGTTCTGCCAGCAGCTTTGTGCCCCAATCTTGCTGGTTATTTTTGTCTCTTGGCTTAAAATGTCGGGCCTTGCAAAAGGCTTCTGCGACCGAGTACTTGAGTAAAAAGAATGACCCCTTTCAAAAGGGTCTGAATACGGTTTTTCGCGAGGCCTATTACAGTGCCTTATAGCTCATGCTAATCTACCGGGGAGTTATTGTGCGCCTTGTAACGGAGGCTGAATTCGTATTTTTCATCACCTGATTAGTATTTCTGAATTGGCTCCGGTGCCAAGAGGAATATTTTCCCTTACTGTTCCTCCTTTTCAGTAGTAATATAAACATAATAAAAAGCAGTAGAAAGAGCATCCCCTTTCCAGAAACAAACAAAAACCAATTACGGTCAGTCCTGAGGGAAGTCTTCCGTGGAGAAAGCCAAGGAAAGCGGGGAGAAAGCTGAATGGCTCTGCCTTTATCTGTCCTCCCTGCCTAGCTCTTTAGGATCACATTGTCACAGCCCAGTTTGGACTCTTTCATGCCCAGGTGGGGAGGAAGAATTGTTATCAGCGCATGATTGATGTGTTGAAATCTGTGAAATTTAATTGGAGAGGGGCCCATTCCTTTTAGGGCTCATCGGCGATACGTGTTTTCTGTGCTCTGCTCTGGGGCAAAGCACAGGGCAGCCCTGGGAAGCAATCCCAGCAAGCTCTGCGCTACGCTGCGTCCGCCTTCCCGAAAGGAAGAGTGCCGGGGAGGACACGGTACAGCAGGCACTTGAAGGCTGGGGCGGCACCTTGGCACCCCTCCCCGCCTGGTGGCTGCTGCAACCACCCTGCCATGCCGGTCCTGGGCCTGTAACTCTCAGATCAGTTGGTTGCCCTTCCTGTGCTCTGCTGGACATTGCAGGGGGCCCGGCCTCCGCAGGGTGTTTCCCAGGCTTCCTTGTCCCGCGTCTTACCTTTTGGGTGGTTTTCTTGCTTTGACTCTCTCTAATACTAACTTGCTGCTTCTTTCTGTCTTCCATTTAACCTAACCATTTTTAAAATGAATTTTTTTTTCTTATTTCTCTGGCTTCTGGCTGGAGGAAGATTGGACGTGGGAGGGTCTCGCCTCCCTCTTGGCAATTGTGGGACGGCATCTGTAGCAGTGGCCGTACCTCTAGGGTCCCTGGAGCCCTCCGGGGTTCCAGCTCCCACCAGGACACCTTGGCTCAGGCCCTGGTGATGTTTCCTTCTCCCTCTGTCCCTATCCTCAAAAGGCCTTCTGCTTGGCTAATATTGCATAAGGCCACTTCCTGACAGTAAATTCCCTCTGTGGTAAATGCTCGGAGTGGTTTTCACTTCCTGGGTGCACTTTACCGCTACTCCCCTTCCCGCTGTAGTTGTCTTAGGCTTGATGCTAAGTGTTTTACTGTTACAAAGTTGCTTTTTAAAAAGTTAATTCAGATCGAGCGTGATGCATGGTGCTAATGTGTAATCTCAGTAGGTGGTTACGAATATTTACTGCTGGAAATTAGTAAGGTCAAATCTGATACCGACCGGATAACCTAGAAGGGCTTAGATGCACTTTTCTCAGTGAACTTTAATCAAACAGAACACACAAACTCTTCCAAAGAGTGAGCCAAGATATTTCTAGAAGAAAACTGTAGGTGGATGGGGTTACTGTATGTGCAGTGTAGGCACTGGAGTAAGGTAGACCTGGATTCAACTCTCAGCAATTCCTGGTGTTGGCTGTGTGAGCTCAGGCAGGTCCCTAAGTGTCTCTGGCCTTAGCTTTCTCCATGAACAGTGGCAGTAGAAATATGATAAGGAGGTCACATGTGGCATGTGTAAGCCTGCCTCTAGAGCTGCTTTTCTTATGATGATTCGCTGATATCACCATGCTTTGTCTTTCCTTCTCAAGTTTAACCTAATCATTTATCAAATGAGATTCTTTCTCTTATTTTCCTATAGTGCAGCTAAGGCAAAATTCTCAAAAGGAATTTCACTTGAAAGCTAAGGGAAACCAAAAAGGAAATAAATGAGCTAATACAAAAGTGATAAAGTCACACTCATAATGCCAGGGGTCCCTGAACAGGCTTCGGGCCCTGACTATTTCCCAGGGACCTGGCCTGCCTGTCGGGAGTGCTCTCTGGCTCACGACATATGGCTTCTAGGTGCCAACATCGTTCTTAGAACACAGGATATTGCCTAACTGAATATAGTGTCCCTTTCAAAGACAAATTCCTGTTCCCTCAACATAAACGTTCCCTGCTTTCCCCTGCATTTGTTCCTCGGAAGTTTTATTTAAATAAAGAGACCATCCTCTCCTCAAAGCATCCATTCATCATATTGCCCCTAAACAGAAAATCTTTGAGCCAGAGAAGGTTCTGAGAATGCTGCCTTTCAACAGATTAAACAGCCTCTTGGTCCTGGAAATGGTACGAGGATTATCCAGCTAAAAGACAACCTTGTGTACATCTACCCTTTTAGAAGTTGCAAATCAAAGGAGAAATTCTGGTTGAAGCTTGATGGTTCCTCTGCTTTAGTAATGCTTTCTTTTCAGGAACTAAAATGATAGTACTCCATAAAAACAAACTAACCTGGGGACTTGCTAGCATTTTGTTAAAATATAGCCATTTCTGTAGAAACAAAAGATGTGATCTTCAAATAATATTTCAGGCCATGCGCGGTGGCTCACGCCTGTAATCCTAGCACTCTGGGAGGCCAAGGCAGGAGGATCTCTTGAGCTCAGGAGTTCGAGACTAGCCTGAGCAAGAGCGAGACCCCATCTCTACTATAAATAGAAAGAAATTAGCCAAACAACTAGAAATAGAAAAAATTAGCCGGGCATGGTGGCACGTGCCTGTAGTCCCAGCTACTCGGGAGGCTGAGGCAGGAGGATCACTTGAGCCCAGGAGTTTGAGGTTGCTGTGAGCTAGGCTGATGCCATGCACTCTAGCCTGGGCAACACAGTGAGACTCTGTCTCAAAAAAAAAAAAAACAATAATAATGTTTCATTGCACCTACCAATTATAAGTCTTTATTGGCAAGCCTCAAGTGTGGGCATCTTCTTGACCTTAGCTCTGCCAGCTTCTCAAAGACCACAGCAGAGGAAAGTAGCCTCTTCATAGAAAAGAAAAGCTGAGCTCAGAAGTTATTCCTACATCTGCCTACTCTAGACTACATCTGCCACACCTCTTTTCTCCAAGACAAGAAGAAGAAATAGATTTGTAGTATTATTTTCAAGAATAACCAGAGGCTTTCACAATTTGGATACATAGGCAGGTGCACTCTTAGATGCATAAACAACCTGTGCAATGCAAAGAGGTGGATGGTGTGAGACTGGGAAGTCCCAACCTGGAAATGCGCAGCATGTTTAACTGCATGCTTTGGGGGCCTGGTGTGTGATGGTCTGGCACCATTGAACATGTTCCCAAGTGATATGCCATCACAGAATTCTCCCTGCCTTCCTTGAGGCATTGGTACAAGTGCAGGGACTCTGTGAGCTCATGGTTCCTCTCGAACCAACAGGTCTGCCATAAGGGAGCGTGAGCTGTTCAGGGCAAAGTTGGTCTCTGTTTAAAGCTACTATTGAATTGAACCAGAATGACATTCCTTGATCTATGCTGGTTGTAAACAGTATGCTGCTAAAATACTATAATATTGCTTGACACTTGTGCTCTAGAGATTTCAAGAGGAAAAAAATTTCTACTAGATGCCAGTGAGGTGATGAAAATGTTTAAATAAGTAAGTTCGCAAGATGTTGGCCATTCTAAATAAATATGTATCTCATCTATGCTTTTTCCTCCATTTGGAAATGCCATTGCCAGATATTTCAGAGCAAGAGAGCAAAGGGATTTCATTAGGACTAGGAGCTCAATGTGTAACAGGTAATTTCTCTAGAATCAGATCTAGCACATCCATCTGAAGAATGTGGATAATAATACACACTTTCTGCAAATCCTAGAGCTGATCAGACAGTCATAGAATCCCAAAAATTATACACTACTTTGTAAAAGAAAGAGAAATGTACTAGCTGCCTCAGTGGGTTCTAGGAATTTGAGTGCATAGAACCACCAAGTCTCATCTAAAAATTAAAACTTTCTAAAAATACAAATTACAAAAATCGAGTCATAACTATATGAGAGAAGATGAAATAGCTCATTTCCATCCTAAATCAATACCTTATCCCCACCCTGGGAGATAGGTCATTTTAATCTTCATTTATGTTTACCTTACTTTGCTTTTTCCTCTGCTCTGATGTTTGTTAGGCTTTGAGTGGATATTTATTCCCTTCTCGTGAAGCCTATACAAACATTTAATCATTCCTATCTGTTTGGTTTTTTCATTTTTAGTAATTTATACTTAAATGTTGGCAAACTGAATGATCTAATTTTGCCCTTTGAATGTCTACACATTCAAGTTCTTTAGACAGATTTTATCTCTTGTTTTTTTAATTCTATTTTGAGTTTTATAAAAAAAAAAATGGATGTTTCTTATTATCCCCCAACCCATAATTTTCTTCAGTGAACTTTTTGTTTAATTTTGTTTTGCTTTAACATTTTATTTTTCAGACACCTCTCATTGAACCTCACGTTCCTCTTCGTCCTGCTAACACCATTACCAAGGTAATGGGACGTAGGTGGGTTGACGAGCCAGCAGAGTTTGCTTCTTAAGTACCACTAGAGGTGGTCCCTATGTCAGAGCATCAAATCAGGAAACCTCTGATACATTTTCTGGAAGCAATAAATACTCAGTGTGTCTCAGTTCTCAATATAAAACAGTGACATGTCACACAAGTGAACAATGTAAATGTATGAGTGAGTTATGTTTTTTAAGCCAGAGTGAGGTTGGAAAGTGAGTTAAGGAGATTCATCTGGTTTGTTTTCCTTCTATAACCTCTCCTTCTTTCTCCTCCCCTCCTGCCACCCAATTAAAATCCAGGTCCCTTCAGAGAAGATCCTCAGGGCTGGAAAAATTTTACGAAATGCCATTCTCTCTCGAGCACCTCACATGATAAGAGATAGAAAATACCATCTAAAGACATACAGGTATGTGCAACAATTAATTCTAAAGGCTGTGGACCCCTCAGATTCATGCATAGTGAGAATGGAACAAAAATGCTTCTCTCTGTTTTGCATCTGGAGGCAGCCCGATTTAGAATGCCTTCAAGTTCTGGAAGGTCTAAGCTTGTCATGGATCCCTGCTTCACTGTGGGTGTTTTATTATCCTGAATATTCCCAGCAGTTACTCCTAAACTAATTTTCTTGGACGTTGGTTTAATTGTTATGAAAAAAGAGAAGAAAGTTTTTGTTATTTCTGTTTGCTAGTAACTCTTAGGAAGCCTACTAAATTTAGGTCATATTCAACTAACATTTACTGAGCACTTATTTATGCTCAAAGACCTGTACCAGGCCACTTTCCATGTGTTATCCCATTTCATCTTCATCACAACCCTGCTAGATAGGTGTATGGCCATTTTCAGATGACAAATCTGGGACTCAGAGAAATTAAATAGTTTTCCTTGTCCAAATCACAAGTCTAGTGAGTGGCAGAGGCAGGATTTAAACCAAGGTTGATTGATTTCCAAATTCAATAATCTTTTCATTCATTTAATCATTAATTTATCCCACAAGTTTATTAAGCACTTACTGGATACCAGGTACTATTATGTTTCAAGCCCTGAGGATACAGCAGTGAACAAAATATACAAATTCCTTTACGAAGTTTATTTTCTAATATACAATTTTATTCTAGTATGCATATAGTAAGATACACAACTCTGTATCACATATATAGTCATGTAGAATAGGGATTCTTTATAGAGTTGTCATTGGAGGTAAGAAATTACAAAAATAAAGACTAGGGCTGCATGGTTGGCTGAACCTTCTGGGATGACTGAACCATGGTTGGCCAATTAAGAATTAGAATCTAATCCATAACTTTTGATTTTATCAATTCAACAAGTGTTTAGGAACTGGAATAGCTAATACATGACATACCAGCCTTCACTCTCTCTTCTTGAGAGAGTTCAGACACAGCCCTCTTTTCCATTTAGCCTAGACATGACCTCAGAACCCATCAGCCTTGGCATGAGTCAAAATCCCTTTGATTCACATGAGCCAAATTCATGAGAGAGCAAAAAGCCAGAACACAAATTTCAAAGTTACCATGAAGGATATGTATCTTTCTAGTGACTACCAACCTACAAAATTATACCTGGTTCATCCAACAGCAAATCTACCAAGTCCATGTGCTTCAAGATCCAGTATCTCAAGGATAGAGATGGAAAAACATTGCAAATTCTTCCTCTTGGGTTACTTTTTCTATACTTTGGGCAAACTAATATTCTTCTGCTTGCACTTGGTGTGAATCTGTTACAAGACCAACACTGACAGTTTGTTATATTTAGAATTTGGGAAATGAGACGGGATTTGAGAGGTACTTTAGTCTTAACAGGAGCACATTCCACTTAAGACATATTCTATCTCTTAGGACAGACTGGACCCTTTTTATGTTATCTACTAACTATTATTTCGGATAATTACATTTGTAAGTCTTGTTCTCCAACCCTGTAAGTTGATTCTTTTTGGAATCTGTGGTCCCTACACACTACTATAATTTTAAGGAAAGTAAAGGTTAAAAAAAAATTCATGTGTCACATGTCCCCAGAGAGAGTTCAATCTCTTTAACTCATTAAGTGGAGTTCAAAATCTCATATGGTTATAGAATACTTTTCTTTTTAAATTTTTATTATTTTTTTCCCTTAATTTAAGATGCAATTATGCTTAGCCAAGTATTGACTTGCGTTAGGGAAAATCCATTAAAATATGTCATGTTTGGTGACAAATAGTGGAAACTCGAAGTCAAAAGCCATAAATTTCTTTTGTGCTCCATAGTACTAAAATTTTAAACCCTTGAAATATAGGTGTTATGTATATTCCACACCCTATGACACAAATTAATGATCTGTTGGTAATGACCAGTGGACTCAACTGTAAGCCAGAAGCATGATTTCTTTTTTCTGCAAGACAGTTCTTTGTCCCAGATCTTATACTTCCCAGTTCCATTCTTCCTCTCTTCCTGCTTTTCACCATGTTATATTATTGCTGCAATATTAGGGGGTAGAATCCTCTCCGGATGTAGTATCACCCCAAGAATCACTGTACTAGAGGTCTGCTGTCAATTCTAAAGTGGCTAGGGATCATTAATGGAAAGGTACCCAGTGATTCCATCAGCTGCAGGTGGCACAGCTGTGGCTGGGTGTCTTAGTTTCATATTCTGGCTGCAAGATTCTGACACACTTTGTAAGGACCCAAATGCTCTGAGATCATCTAAATTCCTGTCCTTTTTAAAGTAAAGGTAATCATTGAATTAAAAGCCAAAGGAAATTGACTTTGTATACTTTTTCACAAGTTTTCCCACTAATATGTTCTCAGATTATTAATAGAAAAGGACTATTTTGGCAGGTCATATGCTTGGTTCAGAATGATTAGTAAGTAGGTGACTCTTTGCCCTTTAAAGCTCTACTGTGCAGGTAGAGACTGTAATAAGGACAATCCTGGAAATATAATGGCTTTCTCGGTGTATCTTTCCTGTGAAATATTCTGGAGTCAGGGTTAGCCCCAAATGAGGGCATCCCAGGAGCTTTGATAGATTTCAGAGGTCCTAAAATAGTACATTGGAAAAGGCCTCAGAGGGCATCTTTTGCTCCTCCTTTTTTTTTATAGATGAAGAAACTGAGAACTAGAGAGTTGAAACCACATGGCCAAAGTCTTACAGCTAATAAGTAGCAGACCTGGTGCTGTGTCTCATGTCTCCTCCCAGTTCCAGACTCTTCCCACAGTGGCACAGCACCGTGATTCTCTGCCAGTTTCAACTAGGGAAGAGCTCTCTGGGCCTGACCCAGTCGTAGTCCGTGCCCCAGAGGTGGTGCTGTCCCTAACATGGGAGGGGAGGCCACCAGTGACTCAGTTCCAGCTGCAAGCAGCCAGCTGCTCTGTGACCTTCTGCCTTGTTCCATTGTCCCTTGGGGTCCATCCCTAGAACTTCAGAACTCCATTTCTTCCCTCGAACCATTATACCATGAACACTTGCCTTTCTCTCACCCCATGGAAGGTTTCAGTGTTCCCTGACGGGTGTGTGTATAATCATGTGTTTCCAAACTAATCCATGCAGTTTGCCCATCCGGACCAACTCACCACAGAGGGGCATCTTAGGGAACCATGTGCAAATATGCAGAAAGCCAGGAAGCATTTGGCGCTCCTCAGATGGCAGGCTGGGTAGAAATGCTGATGCTCATTACACAGAACTTTTTTCAAAGAGATTTGCATCGCTAATTGGTTGTTTCTCCCAACACCCCTCCGAGAAAGATCAGTAGTATTACTTGAAAATATAAAGTGCTATATAATTTTGCACTTATACAGCGCCTTTCATGGAGCACCTCCGAGTGCCTCACAAACATTAACTCATTCCTCACGAGGCTCAGGTGGAGGCAGTCAGTATGTATTTTGCTTTGACTTCATCTTACAATGAGATTTTCCGGGACCAGCTCCTGATGACAGAGTGTCTGTCCCTGGGATTAACTTGCCAGACGATGCTCCCCCTCTAGCAGCGCTCCAGTCTCCCCTGGGGCTGCAACTTGTAATGCCCTTTCATTTAGCTAGCCTTGCTTAAAGGTTTCTCTCATGGACCTACTGGTTTTGTTGGTTTGTATTCGCATTTGAGAACCATAGGCTACACCATGTGGTGCTTCCTCTGCCATGAGACCTCTTATGGTAGGAGAGTGCTATGTTCTTTGGGAGAACTCAAAAGCCTCTCAAAACCCATCTCCCATTGTCTGCAAAAGGGTGATTTGCCCATCCTATGTGTCCCACCGCCCCTTAGACAATGCTGTGTGGGCACCGAGCTGGTGGACTGGATGATGCAGCAGACTCCGTGTGTTCACTCCCGGACTCAAGCTGTCGGCATGTGGCAAGTCCTGTTAGAAGATGGTGTTCTTAACCATGGTAAGTTGAGCCACCATCCCTGGAAACCCCTGAAGAAATGCTAAGTGCATTTCCCTGGGTAAGTTGTTGCTGAACTCCAAAATGGGCAAGAAAGAATGATGGTCCCTTTGGGGGCCCGCAGAGCTAGCATCTTCATTTAGCAATACAAATGCAGCAAGTGGATGCTATTGATTGCTATGTTCCACTGTTGTACCTTCCTAACTTGGGGGAACATATGAAAGGAAAATGAAGTTGCAGCCCGAGTGCATCAGTTCCAATTATGTTTATTAGTTTGCATTCACAGTTCATTGATAGTGTGATTATACTCCGAGCATTGCATAGCAATCCTGATGCAGGGGCAAAATGAAGAGCAATGAAGTGTGTGCCTGGGCTGATGACATGAAAGTAAGTAATGAATTCAGAAGCTGCCTTTTAGCTGTGCCACTGTCTGAGAGAGCCAATTTGCATACCCCCAGGATGACCATGTTTAAAATCAAGAATGTGCTCTGCAATTGTGGCTCTCGGTAAATGCAGGGGCTATAATTAAACAGAGTAGCTCTTTCAGGACTGGTGTATGACTCTGGCTGAACTGCTCATGCCATTTGTTTAAGACTACTCTTCCAAACAGACAAAATATTAAAGTAATGCATTTAATTTGCCAACACCTGGGAACCGAATGATGGTTTTGCCAGTGTTTCTCATACTTTAATGTACATACATCACCTAGGACTCTTGTTAAAATGCAGGTTCTAATTTAGCTGGTTTGGGGTGGATCCTGAGTCTGCATTTCCAGCAAGCTCCCAGGTGCTGCTGATGCCGCTGTCCCAAGGACACACTTTGGCAGCAAGGGTCTACTATTACACTTCTCTTTATCTTTCAAGAGTATTGATGCTCTATCCTGAAAAGGGGCTAAAGTCTGTAAGACACATAGATGAGGGATTCTGAGCCAAGTTCATTGTCTTTGTCCTACCAGGATATAAATCTTGTTGTTTAAAAGAACAAGAGTCTGTCTTCTTTTGAAAAGCTTCTGTTCATGTCTTTTGCCCACTTTTTAATGGGGTCGTTTAATTTTTTCTTGCTGATTTGCTGAGTTCTTTGTAGATTTTGGTTATTAGCCCTTTATTGGATGTATAACATGAGCATATTTTCTCCCACTCTTTAGGTTGTCTGTTTGCTCTGTTGATTGTTTCCTTGACTGTGCAGAACCTTTTTAATTTAATCAACTCCTATTTATTTATTTTTGTTCTTGCTGTGATTGCCCTTGGGGTCTTCTTCATAAATTCTTTGCCTAGGCCAATATCTAGAAGATATATCTAGATAGATATATATATCTATATATAGATATATCTATATCTAGAAGAGTTTTTCCAACATTTTCTTCTAGAATTCTTATGGTTTTATCTTAGATTTAAGTCTATTATTCATCTTGAATTAATTTTTGTGAGTGGTGAGAGATATGGATCCTCTTTCAATCTTCTACATACGGCTATACAATTTTCCTAGAACCATTTGTTGAACAGGGATTCTTTTCCCCAATATATATTGCTGTCTACTTTGTCAAAGATCAGATGGCAATATGTAGATGGCTTTATATCTGGTTTCTCTGTTCTGGTCCATTTCAAAAGAAGATAGACTAATGGCCAATAAACACATGAAAAATTGCTCAATGTCACTAATCATCAGAGAAATACAAATCAAAACCACAATGAGATATCACCTAACCCCAGTGAGAATGGCTTGTATCTAAAAGTCCCAAAACAACAGATGGTGGCATGGATGTGGAGAGAAAGGAACACTTATACCCTGTTGGTGGGACTGCAAACTACTGCAACCTCTATGGAAAATAGTATGGAGATTCCTCAAAACTCTAAAAGTAGACCTACCATTTGATCTAGCAGTCCCACTACTGGGTATTTACCCAAAGGGAAAAAAAAAGTCATTTTATCAGAAAGACACTTGCACTAGAATGTTTATTGCAGCACAATTCACAATCACAAAGATCTGGAATGAACCCAAGTGCTTATCAATTCATGAGTGGATTAATACAATGTGGTTTATGGAGTACTACTCAGCCATAAAAAATGAATTAATGCCTTTTGCAACAATCTGGGTGGAACTGGAGACCATCCTCCTAAGAGAAATATAGCAAGAATGGAAAAACAAACACCACATGTACTCACTATTAAATTGGAACTAACTGATCAGCATTCATGGGCACAGATAGAAGTAAAACTCAGTGGAAGTTGTGCAGATGGAAGAGGGTAGGAGGGGATGGGTGAAATCATACCTAACGTACAATGTACTCTATCTGAGTGACGAGTACACTTATAACTTTGATTCAAGAAGTACAAAAGTAATTCATGTAACCAAAACATTTGTACACCCATAATATTCTGAAATTTTAAAAAGAGAGAGAGAAAAGTAACAAGAGGAAAAAAAACTTTTTATTAATAAAGTCAAATCTGGAAGAAAATTACCACAAAATCCTTCTGAGAATATATATATGACCTAGAAGCTTAGTCTGGTCAGCTTTTTTCAAATAATTAATTTTATTCTAACTTTTTTTCCCCCAAAGTGCAGACAGAAATGCTTATAAACAGTACATATAGAAAGAAAAACACGAATTCTGATGCTGACAAAATAGGTTTTTAAAAGTCTGTACTCTCAGAACCATTATAGAGCATGATCTGGCACTTGGCTATTTTCCTGTTTGGGACTCCGTCCCACATATGTCAGCAAGGCGATTTCTGCAGGTCAAAGTGCTCATCTCAGAAAAGCTGGCGGGTTCTCAAAGGGAGTCCCACGGAGGCCGGGAGGCGGGTGGGTCCGAGAGGGCTGCGGCGTGCACGCCTGCAGCCAGGAGGTCCCGTCTGGGCGAGGCGGAGTGAGAAGGGTGCGGAGTCTCGCCTCTGCAGCCACTGGGCAGTCCTGCCAGACGCCCTCCGCTTGTTCCTGGTGGACGCAGCTGTGAGGCCGAGCTGCCACAGCTGACACATGCTTCCATGTTTCCCGTAGTGGACCAGGAGCACCATTTCCAAGACAAATATTTATTTTATCGATTTCTGGATGATGAGCACGAGGATGCCCCTTTGCCTACTGAGGAGGAGAAGAAGGAGTGTGATGAGGAGCTCCAGGACACCATGCTGCTGCTGTCGCAGATGGGCCCCGACGCCCACATGAGGATGATCCTCCGCAAACCGTGAGTGACAGCTCCTGGCTACCCCGGCCCAGGGGCCCGAGTGCGCATGTGCTCCCCGGGAGAGGCGGGGGACTGCTGAGTTCCCAAGTCCTGGCTTTGCCCCAGGGCCAAAGAAGAGACACTGAAAGGGTAACACAGCAGTCTTTGCCTCTGTTTTATTTTATTTTGTTGTTGTTGATGATTCAGATGACTCTATTTTCCATTGACATGAGTTGAAATGTATAGAGATTTTCAGCGGTCGGCTCAGGATCTCAAAACTGAGTCCCCATATTAAATAACCTTTGGTCAATGACAAACAGAAACTGCTCTGTCTCTGTGCCAGGCTGTGGCAGCACCTTTCTTCCTAATGCAACAGGACAGAGGTCATCAGAACCACAACTCTCATGCCCGTGCTTACATTCATTCACTTACTCATTCATTCAGCACATCCTTTCACACTACTCTGAGGGCTCTGCTCTTCAGCTTAAAGACGCATTCTTACGGGAACACCACTGCTCATCAACCCCGCCAAGTCCTCTATCAGTCCCTGAGCCCATCTCTCCCTTTGGTCTCAGCTGAGCTGACCTTACCTTCATGAGCAGCCCGACTGCCAGAGTTGAGGACTCTGAGATGCTGGATCAGATCCATTCGGAAAGAGTGTGTTGAGCCCCCGTTCGACCCAGGGTAGTCTACCAATTGCCATGGGGCACACTAAGAAGCATACACCACAGTCCTCATTCTCAAGGAAACCTTTTCAATAAGGGTGACTTGGCACTTGCTCATGAAACCACCACACACAGGCGTATACTTTTCTGCTGGAAATGAAGTCACCCTCCACCCTGCGCCAGTGGATGTCGACTCTGAGTCACTGGCTTGGCCGACCTTCATTCATTCGTCTTAGTCTGGACGAGAGTGTTAAACTTTACGTGTCTTGTGTGTCCACTGGGCACCTTCCAAGAGTGAGATGTCCCTCAGACCAACTTCCCCAAAGTCTGCCCTGCAAACCAGCTCACAGCAGCCTCTCTTGAGCGCACCTTTATCTCCTTTCCCCGGGCTCCTTTCACTTGCCCTTACTTAGTGCTGCAAAGTCTTTTCAACGTATTTCATTTCTGTCACACTATGTCCCCTTTGTCAAAACTTTCTCTTGGGTCTTAATCTCTGGCACCGTGTGTTTCAAAGGCCTTCCTTCATCCCAGTTGGTACCATCATCTTTAACTCTGGAACCGTGGTTTCCAACTCTTTAAGCCTCAAAACCTTTTCTTCAAACAAAAATTTGACAGGAAAATCCAAAATATCAAACAGAAAAGCCAGAGCTTCACTGACCTAAGCAAGAGTAGGGTCCAGGAAACCTGCCCAGCCAATTTACGCTCTCCCTGCCCTGAAGGAGCATGAGGGTGGTGGCTGGCGGGGACACAAGGGAATCCTGAGGGCTTGCAGAACTCAAGTGAACAACAGCGTTTTAAACCATGCTTTCTCCTGTCCGACGGTGTCCTCCCGCTCTTCTCCATACCCCTCTTGTCCCACTGACCCTCATTTGTACTTCTCCATCATTTCCTGGATCCATACTCTTTTTGCTGTGCTCCTTGCTGCCACCTGGTTCTGAATCAGGGGGAGACAGCCCCCAAGGGGCATTTGGAAATGTGTGAGGATGTTTGGGTTATCAACGTGTGGGAGGGGGCACACTGTTGGCATTCACTGGGCAGTGGCTGGGGCTCAGAGCTGCTGAACACACTGAAATACCAAGAAACCTCCCAAAATAAAGCACTATGCTAAGTGCTAAGGCATTAAGGTAAGCATTGAACAGGAGGCCTGCTCCTCCTTCCTGGAGCTCTCTGTCTAGCACAGAGGAAAAACCTTAAGCAACTACGCATACAAGTGATCATTTAATCGTAGCTGCATTAAATGCTATAGAGGAAAAGGTAGTTGTGTGTTAATACAACATAATATGGGGAGGAGGGTTTAACCTGGTGTGGAAATTAGTGAGGCCATAAACCTAGCTCTGTGCATTGTACCAAGTAAGCCATCAATAAACCTTTGCTGAGTGAGTGAAGCAATGTGTGAATACGCAGCCCTAGCTAATGTTCCCTCAGCTCTTAGTTGCTTCAAGGAAGGAGGGAATGCCATTTGATTCACAAATATTTTTGAGCATCTACCAAAGAGGTTAAAAGAAAAAAGTATTAAATAATAAAGTGGTTCCTGCCTTTGGGGAGTTTAGAATCCTATGCAAGAGCTATTCCCAAATTAGGTTCAGATGAAACAAACATTATTGAGTGCCTGCTGTCTGCTATGAACATGCATGCTAATTGATTTACCCTTCCAAGAAACTTGAAAGCTGGATTTCATGAATCACCCTTAGAAATGAGAGCCTCGGCTGTGCTTCCTTTTTCCTGCATGCAGCATTGAATTGCATAATCCTTGGCAGCCCAAAGATTCTTGAGAGAAAATTACATTCCAAGGCTTGGACTCTTCCAGTCTGTCACTAGCCATTAAAGTACAGGTTTCACCAGTATTCCAAGATACATCATTTTGGGTAGCCTTGGGATTTTCCCACCTTCCCAGTGTTTTGAAACTTTGCACACATTGGAATTGGGCTGGCATTTCTTATGACTCTTCAGTTTTCTTTCTATTGAAATGACAGCTCCTAAGAGATGGGAAAGTGAAAAATAAGGATTCTGATTTTATGAGACAGGCATTCAAACTCTACACACACATATACACACACCTCATTTTTGATCTGCTAATAATCTTTGGAGCTACTACTTTATTTTAGAGGAAAGAAGACAAACTTTGTTGATCAAGAATTGCCAGTATCATTGCTGTCCTTGAAGAGACCAGCTAAGCACTTTGCTCCTGGGAACTGAGGGCATGTTCAAAGGTCCTGGAAATGTTGACTTTTTACTGCCCAAACTGCCACGTCATTAAGAAATGTGGAGGCATGAGACGCATTGGCTCCACATTGACCAGGCAGGACCCCCCAACTTTTTAACTCAGCACAGCTGCATTTTATAATAGTCACCACTGCCAGAGAGGTTGCAGAACTCTGATAATTACTGGGAAAGAAATAACACAATATTCTTTGATGAGAAGATTACTTTGAGAATTTGATTGTATAATGAAGATGTTGCTTTGAAAGGTACTTCCTATTGTTCTGAATCTGAGACTCGCTAGCAAAAAAAAAAAAGTGTCACTTGTTTTGACAGGCTACTTAGAAAAATTCTCTGTTTATTACATTAACTGCAGCATTTTAACTGTCAAACTATGAAAGAATGTTCTGTAGTTTAAAAAACAGAATAGAGCTTCAGGGGAAATTTTTTGGCACACTCTTGTTGCTATTGGTATTGAAAAAAAACATACATTCTGAATGTGAAATTAGCTTTTTATGTGGTGGCAGACAGAGTGACTCACAATGCCCATCCTGGTTTCGCAGGTGCAGACCTGGATGGCATCTGGGGGCAAGTGCTATAGAAGGATGACAGTTTGACGGTGCTGTTGTTGTAGCTCTGAGACAGGGCCATCAAACACAGAATGAGCTCTCAGAGCTTATTGTTTTGATTTTGCTTTGTTTATGAGTCTAAAAACAAGAGGTTACCCTATGACAAGTAGATATAATGGGGACCCTTACCAGTAGAAATGTAAATTTTGCCTTCCTTTGAGCAGGTACTTTAGATAGAGAGACATAGGCAAAATGATGTGGAGTGACCAGGTAAGCAGAAAATTGTAAATTTGAGGCCAGCTGTAGAAAAAGAGGCTTCAAGGAGACAGAATGCTCTGCCATAGAAGCCTTCCAAGCAAAATGGGGCGTGTGCTCCCCAGTTTAGGATGGTCTATCAAAGACTAGCCTAAAGGTGGGAGGGCAATGAAAGAGGTGCTACTTCCCAAATAGAATTCTAGGTCTGTAGCTCTGAAATTCCCTAAAAGCCTAGAGGATTAAGTAGTTGATAAAGAAATAAGTCAGTTGGGCCTGAGCAGGGGGAAAAAATTCCATATATATCTGGAATTGCAAGTTGTGGAGTCTTCCAAATGGGTCAGAAACTTGAGTTAATTTATTTTCCATGATAAATTAATATTTCAGGTGCCCTTGGGATTTTCCCACCTTCCCAGTTTTTTTTTTTTTTTTTTTTTGAGACAGAGTCTCACTCTGTTGCCCAGGCTAGAGTGAGTGCTGTGGCGTCAGCCTGGCTCACAGCAACCTCAATCTCCGGGGCTCAGCGATCCTACTGCCTCAGCCTCCCGAGTAGCTGGGACTACAGGCATGCGCCACCATGCCCGGCTAATTTTTTGTATATATATATATATTTTAGTTGGTCAATTAATTTATTTCTATTTTTGGTAGAGACGGGGTCTCGCTCAGGCTGGTTTCGAACTCCTGACCTTGAGCAATCCGCCCGCCTCGGCCTCCCAAAGTGCTAGGATTACAGGCGTGAGCCACCACGCCCGGCCATCCACTTTCCCAGTTTTTTGAAACTTTGCATACATTAGAATTGGACCAACAGTCCTTCTGACTTTTCAGTTTTCCTTCTACTGGAATGACAGCTCCCAAGGGATAGGAAAGTGAAAAATAAGGACTCTAATTTCATGAGATAGATATTCAAACTCTACACATATACATCTCTCTCTCTCTCTCTTTATTTTTATCTGCTAATAATCTTTGGAGCTACCACTTTATCATATTTAAATGGAAGGAAAACAAGCTTAGTTGATCAAGAATTGCTGTCCTTGAAGAGACCAACTGAGAACTTAGCTCCTGGAAATTGAAGATACAAAAGATCTTGGAAATGTTGATTTTTTTTTTTTTTACTGCCCCCACTGCTAAGTCATTAAGAAATGTGGAGGCATGAAATGCATTGACTCCATATCAGATATGTGCTATGAGGTGTAAAGTGGAAGGCAACCATTTAAGATGGATCAAAGGACTTGAGAAAATGCTGTGAGGAGAGAGGGGGAAGAATAAGGCAGGATGGTCCTGCAGCGGCAGGGGTAGACCGCCTCCCTGCTATTCCACACACTTGCTCTAGAGGGCA